AAGCACGGAACAAGTTCAAAAACCATGAGGTCAGTTTCTAAGTTATGTTGTTAAGCTTAAATAATGTCCCATGTGTTGTGTGATTTATTCGGTGATCTGTTTTCGCACTTGGTCTCTGATTTGTAGACGAGTGTCGATTTGTTACATATGGTGTAATTGAGTGCATTATTTTAGCTGGAGAAGGTTTAAATTCTTCGTCTTCCTATGTTGAAATGGAATTATATTAAATTTGGAATTAAACCATAGAGTATCATGTTGCCAAAGTTCTTAGGCGTGATTTAATTACACTTATTTTCATCCCTTAATGAGTAGAATGCGATGCCAAACAAATTCCATAGTTATGAATAATCATGTTACAAGATACAGACCTAATATCTTCTTGCTAGGTACAATACCGTCTCGCTGTTTTGTCTGTCTCTCACTTTCCCTAAACATATTTGACACTCATTATACTTTAAATGATATTTAAACGTAGCAACTCGGTGTACTTGTTGTGATCACTTCTTTCCAATATACAAACAAAATGGCTTTCATACTTTGATAAGAATATGTTTTCAAGAAGAAGATTGGACCTGAAATGTATAGAAATGGACATTTCTAAAATGCCACGTTGTTTTGGCAAAGTTCATTTGGTTTCTTTATTTCAATAGATTAGATGACTGGTACAGTTTTATGCTTTTTCATAGTGTTCTGGTCATTAATTAGAGTTGTAAGATTCCTCGCCACAGCTGTAGGTGTTTCTGAGACTGCTCTGTGTATACAACAGTGGTAGAATATAGAATATATATTTTTTCATAATGGGTCATTTTCAGCCATCGCCTGGGTAATAATATGGCAAAGTGGATCACCTACTCCTCATAGAACTCGTATATCACTTTAATTTCATTGATTCGTGAAAAATCTGTCAGTCACCGATTGATGAGTCTGCTGAGAGAGGGACTATCTTCAAGTTCAATTTGCTAATCTCCAAGAACTGGTACCCTGAAAACCTATTGTAACTGGTATCCAAAAGGTTTATTGTAACTGAAAACTTCGATTTTTTTTAAAAGACTGTGATTAGGGTCAGATTATGATATAAATGTGCTGGCAACCTTGATCCAAAACAGATTTAAAAGCAAGCACAAGTCATTATGTGAAAAGAACTTGATTGTTTCTTGTCTTTCACATCAGTGTTGCTTAGTACACTGCCACTCTTCCTATAATGTTACTTTTTCTCAGGGTAGAGAGATGGTTGAAATGATCTACGGCTGTCTTCCTGTCCTCCTTCCAGCTTGAAGTGAGTTCAATACAGCCAATTGTTGCAATGAGAAGTGACAAGTGTGACAAGAAACATTCCAAAGCACTTTCTGTTCAGTATTTATAATATTCAGCCAACACAAACATTACTTGTTCTAAGTGTGATTGTACTGAGATTGTCCATTAGAGAAGCATTTTTTGAATGTAAAAGTCAATCACAGTAATTTTAAATGGCTATCTAACCGCTGCTAGTGTTAATGTGTTTATTTGGAAACAGGTTTGCAGGTGTTAACAAGACTGCTCTTGATGATTTTAGCTTTGCAGCAGCTGGTTCTGGTTTCTGTGTCTTGTCCAAAAATGATTTGCCTTTGCAAGTTATAATTGAAGGAGCAGCTGTTCTGTTTCTAAATCCAGACACCCTCCATCTGTGCTTATAGGTTACAAACAGCATCTTGAGAGATAAGAAAGATTGTAGTGTAGGGCTTTATGCGCTAATTTCTCAACCTGCATGTGGTCACAGCTAATCCAACATGAAGCATAATTTTCAAATCTGGTCCTATGTCAGCTGTATGGTGTGGGATGCTGATAGCCCAGGAATGGAAAACTGTTGCCGATGTGGATTATCCTTACAATAAGCCACTCATGGAGCTAAACACATGTTTCTGTCAAGGTAAAATTAAAGGCTATATCTTGTTAAAAGTGGAGTCTGTGAATAGTATGGTATTTCATGCTAATGTGACAGATAGTTTGCCATACTGGGATTTATGAGGCACCTTTCACAACTTAAGTTTGTCTCAAATTGCTTTAAAGCCAATAAAATACTATTGAAGTGTAATTTAAAAAGGCTTGCATTTATATAGCAATTTTCAGAATCATCAGATGTCTCAAAATGCTTTACAGCCTATAAGAATTTTTTCAAGTGTAGTCAATCTAATAAATTAGGAAGGTAAGCAACCAGTACTTTTCTGATGAAGGGTCTAGGCCCGAAACGTCAGCCTCTCTGCTCCTATGATGCTGCTTGGCCTGCTGTGTTCATCCAGCCCTGCACCTTGTTGTCTTGAACACAGCAATCTGCATTGACCTAGATAATCCTCTTTGGGATATTGATTGAGGGATAGTATTGTCCTCTTCTTTGAATTATGTCTATCCAAGCAGGCAGATTCGGCTTTATTTTAACATCTTATCCAGAAAAACAATACTTTCTCAGCACTACACTGGGATGTCACTTTTAATTTTTATACTCAAGCCCTGAGTGGGACATGAAACTTGTGGTTCGCAGATGAGAGTGCTACTAACAGAGCCACAGCTGACATTCACTGATGATTCTGAGATCTCATTCCAAGCCCTGCTTACTTTAATCCAAAAACAAAGTTACTGGAAAAGCTCAGCCACTCTGGCAGCATCTGTGAAGGGAAAAACAGAGTTAACGTTTCAGGTCCGGTGACCCTTCCTCAGTTCTGAGAAAGGGTTACCGGACCCGAAACATTAACTCTGTTTTTTCCTTCACAGATGCTGCCAGACCTGCTGAGCTTTTCCAGCGACTCTTTTTTTTGTTCCTGATTTGCAGCATCCATAGTTCTTTCGGTTTTTATTTTAATCCAAGTCGGCAGAATAACTGGAGTGTGAATTTCTCTGCTGCTGCTGAGCACTCAGAATTATACAGTCCTAGAATGGTTACAGCACACAAGAAGGTTACTTGCTCTGTCTTTCTGCATTGGTTTTATGCAATTTAGCAAGTCTCACTCCTCAGCCATATGGTCTCACTTTAAGTGTTATCTAAATCTCTTCTGAAAACCACCATTGAATATGTCTCCACTACCTCTTCAGGTTGTGCATCCCACATCCTAAACTCCTGCTCTTTTAAAAGTAAAATGTGTTAAAATATGCTTATTTTCATTTTGCATTTGGTACTTTTGTCAAGTACCTCATTGGATCCCAATTTTTTCACCATTTCTTCTGTAACTTGATGACAGACTCGGGGAGGGTTTAAAGTGAGCAATTGCTAACTGAGCACAGCAGCTCAACTGCTGTAGGATAGTAATCATTGCCTTTAAAGCACAAAGTCTCATATTTTAACCCATTAACAAACTGTCCTGCCACCTTCAATGATTTGAGCATTTTTATCTCCATGTCCCTCTATTCCTGCGCCCTGTATAAAATTGTACATATCACCTGCTGCATCTATGGCTCTCGTCTTCACAGTTCACAATCTCAGTACAGGTTATGTGTCATATGCAAATATTGACTACACAACAGTGTAAGCTATCAATATATATGTAGAAAAGTAGTGTCCCTTGCACCAATCCTCAGGACTTTCAAAAAAGCAGGAGTTTAGGATGTGGAATACACAGCCCGAATGGGTCATAGAGACAGATTCAGTTGTGGTTTTCAGAAGGAAATTGAATGGACACCTAAAAGAGAATATTTTCAGGGCTGTAGCAAAAGGGTGAGGAGTGGGACTTGCTTGTCTACCACAGTCTGTACCTTCAGCAGCCTGAAAAACAACCGTTTGCTGCTATCATTTGTTCCTGTAACTCAGCTGCCTCTTTATCCATGTTGCCATGTTTTGTTCTGTGGCCTTTAACTTTGCAGAAAAGTAATGATTGTGCAATTCTTCATTGAGCATTGTTGCCAATAATGACACAGTTTAAACACATTTTCTATATACCCCCATTTTTCATCATGGGGAGAAATAATCTCGACATTGAAGTGTAATTTTCAAAGCTATTTGATCTTGTCATTGCTCTGGAATTCAAAAGTGTGAATGCCAGAATGCACTGGATACCTATGTAAAAAGGAAAATTAATGTTTACCAACATTATACTGCAGAAAAGAGTAATGCTCATAGTGCCTTCAGGCATGCAAATGTTTACATTATAACTGCATACTTCAGTACAAGATTCTGCTGTAGTTTTGTATTATGAAGTATTAAATTCCTTTTGGTAGATTTTCCACCAATGGAGTTTATGCTTGTGACTTGTTTGCAACAGTGTGCTGTAATTTTGTGGCTACAGGAGAGGTTCTTAAAATTGCCAAAAATGTAATTTGAAGGAGTAAACACTCAGTTAAGTACCATATTGAATATTAACTGCAAGGATGTGCAATATATTGTACTTGCAACACATTATGGCAGAATTAGGAGCCATACATGTAATCTCTCCCACTGTTGAGTACCTAACATGTGCTGTGTTTTGGGGAACTATCATATGTCAGATCATTCTGAATGCATCTCCTCATGGGCTGGTTTCATAACAGACATCTGCTGAAATTTGCTTTCATGGACTCTACGTTTGATTTTGTGGCACACAGTTGGGCAAAAATAACTTGAAGTGAGATAAGGAAAGAAAGGCTTGCATTTATATAGTACCTTTTCTCAAACTCAAGATATCTCAAGACACTTGACGATAAGTGCTTATGAATGATAGTCACCCACTGTCAAGAGAAAATAGTAATTGGACAGTTATAGGCATGCTTGCTGAGAGCAGTTTGTGGAAGACCTGAACAGTGAACAATAAAATTGCAATCAGCTATAGTGTCAAACCTCTATCGACATCTGCCTCCCCCTATTGTCTTGCACAATGTAATACATTTTAAAAATTGTATACCATTTTGATTGCCTCACCTAGACTATTAAATCCAAAGAAATCCCTAAGTTGAGTAGATAGTCCTGCCTTTTTATTTTCATTATATTTTGCATGAAAATAAATGAGAACGATTGCTATTCTGCAAAGTTTTAACCCTGGATTTTTTTTTTCTATTTTTAGTCTTGTCATTCTTTTGCTTGCAAAAACTTGATGCTGATCATGAAACAATTGTGAAGATTTCCAGTGCAGGACAATGTAGGTGACTTTCTTCCTGGATCTAAGACAACTTTTCAAGGACTTGGCATTTGGAAATTTGCAAAATTCTCAAAAGCGCAAGTAGAATTCTGTGCACAATTACAAAGAGCAGGTAGAAACTGTGTGACACATTCTTAGGCTTTCTGAAGACAGTCTCAAGACAAGTGGTCTTCAAGTTAAACATTAGTTTGAATCCTAATTATGCATTTGACAAATCAAAACAGATCCTAATTCTACTATTGGGATAAATATGTGTCCAAGACTGAAAAACTTACAATACTTCACAGGTGAAATCTGATTGTGTAGAATTAAGTCTGAGAAGCTGATGTATATATTTCATTTCATAACAGATTTACTTTATTAAAATAAGAAGATTATGTTGATTTTTCTTCCTTTTAATTTTATATCCCTCACCAATTTTTACTCGTAAATTCAAACTGTTCATTACTACATTTGCTTCCATTCACTTGCGATAATAGCTTTATTTAATATTACTTGCTGAAAAAATATATTATTGTTTAGTATTTTAAAAAATTCCACTGATGAAGGTGCACAAATAATTTTATGTCAAGGTAATGACAAGTTTAATGCGCGTGCTGTTATTAACGTACAAATCATCCAGGTCTCGTGGAAATACCCTCTACTTTGCAGGAGTTTCAATAAATTGTTGCATTTGTGCATTAACTACCACTTTAAACATGCTGTAGAAAGTTAGGGCTGGTACTTGACAGACATACTTACACAAAGTTACAACTGGTACTAATGAGCATATTTATATTAATAATGATACATGTCCCTGCAATGCCACTCAAGCTCTCTTGTTCAGAAAGGGAACAATCAGAACAGTGAAACCTCATTCCTACAAGTGGCAAATAAAATGTAAAGTTTTCCTTGCTCTCCTTTTTCCTCTCAATTCAATCAATCATTTTTCCCTCGCTTCCTCCACTTTACTTGACTGTCCTTCCCCCATTTTCTCTGTTTCTTTCTCAAGTCTTAGATCTCATTCAGTTAAAAAGATAGACTGTTGGACTTGTATTTCAACAAGGAATCAGATGCCTAGTGCCCTCAGCATGTCACCATCAGCTCACATTTACAGCAACCTTCAGCATAGATCAATTTTGACCTGCAGGGTGAGGCAAAAAGTCTACCTTCGTAGGGGCATGCTGCACAATGCCTTGCTCCAGCAAATTCTAGGCCATTATAAGTGACAATGGAGAGGAACATTTAAATCCATCACCATCATAGAAAATGGCTATCTGGGTTCACTAGCCTGAGTCAGGGCAGCGACGAGATAATAAGAAACAACACAGATGCCAATTGTTTCCTTAGGTAATCCAGTATATTTGATCACCCGACCATTTTGATTGGAAGAAACTGCAATGACATTGACCCTTAGTGAAAAGAAATGGGGAGAAGGAAAAATAGGCTCTCTTTCCCTCTCAGTAAAATATGGTACCTTAAGCTGTGTTTATATTTTAATCCTTTGTCAAAACTACTTAGCTCCGTGCATAACCATCAGTTTTAGCTTGAAAGAGTCATGTAAAAAAAAACTATGTGCTGACAGAGAATTCAGCCAATGGGCCATGTTGATGGCATACACAACTCCCATGGGTGGTGCTGTATTGGTACCATTCCCCAATCCCTGAGGTTTGAGGTTTAAAATGCTCTACATGTGCAAATGACATAGATGAATGTTCATTTTAACAATTCTGAATAAACTAGCTACAAGTATCAACACAAAGGATGGTAGGATCAAAGACAACTAAAGATTGAGAGTTTGCTCTCATTTTTCAAATGACATTTTAGATTTGTGAAAAAAAAACTGCGCACTTTAAATATGCCGCTCTCCTTTAAAATCTCTGACTTCTCTGACATCCTCATTTGCTATTCCACAGTAGGGAGAGTATACAGGCTTTACCCTGACCCTGGTCAGTTTCTGTTGCAGAAGTACAACATTTCTGGGTAACTTGCCTTTTGATTATTTTGTTGTTTCTCCAGGGGGAAATGCCCATTGGCAACATGGTTAAGATATAAAAACCACACTGTCAGGTATTAGAAGTTTCATCCAAACTCCTGCTAGTACATGATGCAATGCATTGGAATCTGAGTGCACCTCTTCCTTAAAAGTTTGAATTTATAGGTCATGTTATTAGAACTATTCAAAAGAAAATATTGCTGGAAATATATACTGCCCATTACTGTTTTGGGCTGTGTTTAAGTAACTTCAGTAATTTCAGTTTATATCAAAATAATGTCAATTGTGAACTATCTAAGTCAATTTCTTTCACAGTGATGCAGTGCTCTGCAGCTATTGATTTGCTATTCCTGCTGGATGGGTCATACAGTATTGGCAAAGGCAGCTTCGAAAGATCCAAACATGTTGCGTTCAAACTTTGTGATGCGCTTGATGTAAATCCTGACAGGGTAAGTTCAAAGGCTTTCTTTATCACTACAGGTTGTAACCACCTAACACACAACTTTCATGTTGCATGTGTGAAATAATCTCAGGTCATCCAGGACTGGACTTTTGAATGAACGATAAACAGGTCCATCTATGATCATTTGATCTATTTTCCAATGCTGGCTGTAAAGCCAAATTCGCACATTGAAATGATCAGCCACTGTTTAGTAAAAGCTGTCAAAACAAACAAGCTTTGAAATTCCGATGGAATAGCACTAGAATAATTAAAGTATTGGTTGGTAACAAAATGCTCTAATTAAAACAAAATTGTGATTGAATATGGCTGTATCATAGTTAACAACCTGGAAGCAGGCCATTCAGTCCAACTGATCTACATTGGTGCTTCAGCTCTACATGACTTTCTTCTCACCTTACTTCATTTCATCCTAACGACAAACCATTCCTCCATTACTCAGATACTTATCCAGCTTTCCCTTAAATGAATCCATGCTATTCGCCTTTACCAAACTGAGTAAATTCCACAATTCTAATCTGAGTGATGATGTTGCTCCTGGATTCCTTAACTGATTTATTGGTGACTATCTTATATTTTTGTTCCTTAATTTTCGAATGGAAACATTCTCTATATCCATACGATTGAACCCCTTCATCATTAAGACACCATTATCATTGTCCTGTCTATTCTAGAGTAAACAACATCAACTTGTTCAGAATTTCTGGATAGTTGTTGTTACAGTGACTAGGGCACAACTAGGGCACTATTTGTCCAAGAAGGGATTTTTTTTAGTTGCAAGTATAAATATGTCTGTGGAATATCACGTTCGATATCAGAAGGACATATTGTCCAAGTTAGTTATTTTAACTGGGGAGAAAGTGCTGGAGTTGCTGAAACAAAAGTTGACTTGGGTTGTTGCTGAGCTCTTTTGAAAGTAGATGGCATAGCCATTTACCGCTATCCATATCTGTTTGAGACAATGGGAGGTGAAATCCACATCTGAAATTTAGTTAGGACAGGCAAAAAGGACAAGGAAGTGGATAGTGCTGATAATAAGTACATGAATGAAGTGAATCATAGAGTTGAAGAGCAAGACAGAATCTGTTTGGATAGAGCTATGATACACTCATGAACAAGCCAAGAAGAAGATTATTCACTTAAAAGATGGTGGGAATCTGAAATTCACTGCCTGTAAGGGTGGAGAAGCAAAAACCCTCATAATATTTAAGAAGCATTTAGATGTACTCTTGTGATGCTAAGGCATACAATGTATGGGCCATCTGCTGGGAAATGGGATTCGAATAGCTTGATAGTTGTTTTTGACTGGTGTACACTTGATGGACCGAAGGGTATATTTCTGCGCTGTTGGTCTCTATGACTCTAAAATTGTAATTTAAAGCGGTTGGCAACACCTACAGGATATTGTGAAAGAGAGATGCCAGAGACAGACTGGGCACATATTTTGCCTCTGGATGTATGCCCTGCCAGACTGGAAATTAAATGGAAACCAATAGATCGGAAGGAAGACAGGAATGGTCATTTAAGTACATTTGAGTAAAGTGTAAAAGGGTGGGACACCACCTGGCCTTGCGGGGAAGAGATTGAAATGGACTGGAGCCAGTATGATGTCTTGCTGCCTATTGTCCTGCACTGGACTGGGGAAACTTAAGTCTAAGTCCTTTAGATTCTACAGTTGTTTAAATGTTAAGCTTTAAAATAAAATACAACAATAAAAAGGAAAAAGTTGGAATCAGTACTCAACGTAAAAGTAAGAAAATTCAATCTATTTACATTCTGCAATAAAGTTGGTTCAAATATACGTTTCTAAATATAAAAAAGTTGGCCGTGGCATTACTTGGCACCAATTGATAAATCCAAGCATCTAGAATTTTTTTTTTGTTGCACTTTATCCGTGGGTCCAGCAGCAAACACAAATTTCTGCATCAAAACTGATCAATAATTGGGTGAAGCGAAAGTGGTGGCCTTTCATTAGGACATGACCAATACAACTGGGGACATCAGTGGCTGCAGGAAAAACAGGGTGCTGTTTGAAAAGAAAACAAAGATTGATCAGTGTTGTCTTTGGCACTGAACATACCATGGGTACAGAGAAAGATTGGAGTAAGATACAGAGTTGTAGAGATCCACAGCACAGAAAAAAACCCTTTGGCCCATTGCATCCACACCAGTTGAAAACAACCACCCCTAACTGTTTTAATCCCAGCTGTGGCTGCTCATTACCTACTGCTTCTCTGTCTGCACATTCATGTAAATAAAATACAATATAGGTGATACACGCTGCTACTCCATGGTTGTCCCTTTGTAAGCCATTTACCTGCTATGCACAATAAAAGGCAAATCTCAGCTGCTAGTTGGAAAGCAGATTTAAAATAATTGTACATTTCAATTAGCAGCTGCCTCTCTGAAATGTTAGTATTTGCACTCAGAATATCTTCATTAAGTACTTTAAAGAGGTAAAAGTGACTGATTGAAGCTGCTTAAAGGCTAATTGTGCCTGAAATCAGAATAGCCTTATAAACTGAATAATAAGATGTGATGGTTAAAACCAAATGAAATCAACTGAGCTTTTCAGTTGATATGTGCAGTATTAGGACTTATTGAACTGCTCTAAATATTTGGTCCATTTATTAAGTTATAAGTTAAGTCTTTGTAATTAACTCCTTTAAAAACTGCAATTAGTTGGGTTATTTGCTCAATATAGGTGGCTACCATGCCAGTTATGAGCAATACAAGAGTTTGAAATTAAGTTTCTTGGGGCTCGGTGATCATGCCCCTACCTCTTGACCAGAATACTCCCCAGGGGTGTCAAAACTTGTCTGAGCAAGTTGATTAAAATAACTAACATTTGGAAATTGGCCAGCGTGATGCCTGTGTAGCTCTGTTAATAAGGCATGAGACCCTTAATCTCAGGGTCATGGGTTTGTGCTTCAGACTGGGTGCTGCAGAAAAAGGGGCATTTTTGTAAGAATTGGAAATTGGATGTTTGATATTGTAGTTGTCCCTCTGCGCTGCACAAACACATCAGCCAAGAATGATCTTCGAGCTCCAAAATCGCACTGCTAGATCAAGAACAAATCCACTCTCAGGTTTCATGAAATGGTAAAAAAATCACAAGTGAGAAGGAATCAACGACAATTTAAACTAGACTTAAAAACTTGAGTCATCATTTTTTGTAACCTGTTGCTGAGATCAGATTTGTCTTTGTTCTTCTGATTAACTTTTCTCTTGGAGAACTTTCAATTAGTGATGCAAAATTGATAAGTAAGATTGCAGTATGTCTGATATTCTATCCTCCTGATATTTGCACGCTCTTACTGTACAGAATAATAAATGTAAAACTATGTCACAGAAGTTATCACATTTAAGGATATTTAATAACGTTCCACGGGGAGGAATTGGAAATAACTCATTTTAGTGTTTTTCTGCAAAGTGATTCACAAAAAGTTTAAAAAGATACTTAGGTGAGAGGTTAATGTACTAAAAAGAAACTATTTTCCCAGAGACTAATTAATAATCAAGGTCAGAAGTTACACAACATCAGGTTATAGTCCATGAGGTTTATTTGAAATCACAAGCTATTGAAGCACTGCTCCTTCATCAGGTGAAGACTATGACCCATACCTGAATTTTATGCTAATTTCATCAGTGTTAAAGTGGAACTACAATGAATATCAGAAGATAATTACAGTTTACACTTACAGGCATGTGCACACTGATCCTGAGTAGCTCCATACCCAGGTTTGCCATAGATGAGCTTCTTAAGTTCAACTGTGCTATTCATTCCCTTAAGTAGTCTTGATTTTTATTTCAATGGGAGTGAAACACATTACCCATTGGCCATCCCTCAAATCAACATCATTATAAAATATAGAGTTTATGGCCATTATCATATTGCTATTTGTGGGAGTCTGCAAGCTGACTGCTGTGTTTCCTGCATTGCAACAGTGCTGTACTACAAAAGTACTTCATTGGCTACACCTGCACGTTAGGAAGTCCTGAGTTTGTGAAAGTCACTATGTAAATGCTTGTCTTTTTTTTCACTCAATACCTTCATGTTACCAGATATGTAACAGTACAATTCTCTAATGATTTGATAAAATATTTGTCTCTTTCATTTGAATGCTTCTTCATTCTTACTGGAAGTACACTGATCAAGCATTTGGTGAGACGACATCTGATGCATAACAATAAGCTGCTTTATTTCACTGTTAGAAAATTATACAGGACTACCCCATGCTTACAGCTTGTTTACACATGACAGTATAAAATGTTGGATACACCAAACTAGCCTACATCAGTGAGTCATCTTGCTGAACTTACATCCATTACTTCTAAGCTCTTTGCATCAATAAAAGTCCTCACAGTTATCCATTAGCAAACCTACCTGGTCTTCCAGTAATCCAGTTTCAAAAACCTTACCTCCCTCTTAATACATCCATTGTCACATACTGAAAGGGATCAAAAGAGTTTCCAATAGAAAAAAAAACAGAAAAAACACAACTTGTTAATTTATCTGGATAATTTAAAAGACTTCATCCCCATACTGTGGAGAAGACTAATACAAAGGAAGAGTAGTTCCGCTACCAGGCAACTGACATAAATATATAAAATGTCAAAAATACCCATTGGACAATGCAAAAAGTTAGTTCTCCTCCCTTCACAACTGCTGCCCAATCCACTGAGTATTTCCTGTAGCTTCTGTTTTTATTTTGGATTTTCTTTTCATATTGGACTTTCCATCTAAGGATCTTAAGTATTTTAACTAACCAGATAAGTTACAAATTGATTATTAATTATGAGGTGGAGGTGCCAGTGTTGGACTGGGGTGGGCAAAGTCAGAAGTCACATGACACCAGGTTATAGTCCAACAGGTTTATTTGAAATCACAAGCTTTCCTATTGACGCAAAGAGCTTAGAAGTATTGGATGGAAGTTCAGCAAGATGACTCACCGATGTAGGGTAGTTTGGTGTATCCAACATTTTATATTGTCATGTCTGGGTTAATGGAGTGTAGTCCTGCATAGTTTTCTAACAGTGAAATAAAGCAGCTTATTGTTATGCATCAGACGTTGTCTCACCAAATGCTTGATCAGTGTACTTCCAGTGAGAACGAAGAAGCATTCAAATGAAAGAGACAAATATTTTATCAAATCGTTAGAGAATTGTACTGTTACATATCTGGTAACATGAAGGTATTGAGTGAAAAAAAAGACAAGCATTTACATAGTGACTTTCACAAACTCAGGACTTCCTAACGTGCAGGTGTAGCCAATGAAGTACTTTTGTAGTACAGCACTGTTGCAATGCAGGAAACACAGCAGTCAGCTTGCATAAACCAGACTCCCACAAATAGCAATATGATAATGGCCATAAACTCTATATTTTATAATGATGTTGATTTGAGGGATGGCCAATGGGTAATGTGTTTCACTCCCATTGAAATAAAAATCAAGACTACTTAAGGGAATGAATAGCACAGTTGAACTTAAGAAGCTCATCTATGGCAAACCTGGGTATGGAGCTACTCAGGATCAGTGTGCACATGCCTGTAAGTGTAAACTGTAATTATCTTCTGATATTCATTGTAGTTCCACTTTAACACTGATGAAATTAGCATAAAATTCAGGTATGGGCCATAGTCTTCATGGTCTATCATAAAAATAAGTTACGGAAACAAAGAGGTCAGTTGGGAAAAGTGCTGAATGTTATTTGTAAATAATGTTGACATCAAGTCTTTTAATAAGCTAAAGTTAAATAGAAATGCTGGCTTTTAAGAGCTGCATCAGAATATTAACTTGTAATCCTTCCATAATGGTATCAAACAGATTAATTCTGCACTCAGTAAGGTTACACTGTAAAGGTTAGATTTGGAATTCTGAAGAAAGGTAGTAGGTGTTCCTGAGGATGTTTCACTGTCTGGGACATGTTGTAAGTTTGTATTTGAAAATTGCAGCCTTGCACTTCTCCAAACAAATTATTGTAGTAGTCCAAAAAATATTTTGTTCCAGTAACCTTAATCTAATGTAATCATTTAAAGCTAATCAAATAAACCATCAGTGTGCCACTGGATACAGATATAACAGGTTTGGCTACACTGACCCTGACTATGCCAGGAATTAATTGCTAAAGATTTTCTTAGTCTAAAGAATTTGCAGGAGTTCCCTTATATCAGATTTTGCGCCAAAATAGATTTAATGGTAGAAGCAAAAACAAATGATGTGTAAATATCCAGGATTAAAGCAAAAATAATCGCAGTGAAGAAAGCATATTTTAATTTCAGAGATAGTAAGAACTGCCGATGCTGGAGTCAGAGATAACACAACAAGGAGCTGGAGGAACACAGCCGATCAGGCAGCATCAGAGGAGCAGGCAAGTTAACGTTCCTGAAATGTCAACTTCCCTGCTCCGCTGATGCTGCCTGATCTGCTGTGTTCCTCCAGCTCCACAATGTGTTATCTATGTTTAAAGCTCAGTTTCCTGAGGTAAGATAGTATTTGTTTAGAATGGCATAAAAGGAACTACACCCAAACCATTCTCTTTTCAGTTTGTGATGGAACAGTGTATGTTCCAGTATTTTCCTTAAGCACTTGAACCTCTTTTTAAAATTCTTTCATATGATGTCAGTGTCATTGGTAAAACCAACACATGTTTCTTATCCCTATGTGCCCTTGAGAAGGTGGTAGTGTTCTGCCTTCTTGAACTGCTGTGGTCATTCTTGTCTGGGATTGCTGTTAAGGAGGGAAGTTGTTCCATTTTTAACCCTGGAGATGATGAAAGTTCAGCTCAAAGCTGAGGATGAGAGAGGGAGAGAGATGCTGTGCTGCGAGGTTAGCAGAAGATATAGAGATTTATAAAAGACATAATGAAAATAAGTGTTTAAGTAGTAGAGGAGGCTTTGTCCAAGTGGTTGTTGCCTTTTTCTCCTCCCACCTGTTTGCTTGTTCCCTGCCCTTCTGTTTTTTTAACTTGGCTTTCTTATTATCATGAAAACAGTTTTGAACAAAAGAATGAAATGCCTTTCAAATGTGCGAATGGCCCATTGCCATGATAGCATTCTGGCACGTGTAGGTGTATGTAGTTTTTAAAAAGGTCACATGTGACCACTGCTTCAATATTCAATGCATTCTCCTACATGCTCTAGAAATCTTCACTTAATTTCTTTGAAACATCGCTGAGCTTTGCAAATTAATTTGCTTGAAGCACTGTTTGTACTTTATTCATGGAATGTCACGTAATATGAAATGTTGGCTTGCATCAACTGTAAAATAGTATTAGGAGTATTAGATACAATACACCTTCTATAATGAGACCGTTGCTTTGTTATGCAGAAAATCCCCTCTGCCCAGTTTCTCCGACTTTTGAAATATTGTAAAATAAGAAGAAATTGAATTGTTTTTGGGCAAAAGATTTCCCTTGAAGAGGCATAACATTAGCATGCACTATTCTAGCGGTGTACTCCTTAAACTAATGTGTTCAGATGAACACAAGCAAAGGGTCACAGCCACTTCTTGAAGCAGGTGCATTTTGGAAAGTGTGTAATCCCTGAGCTATATTTTGCTTACCGAGAGTTGGTGCTACAGATCTGAAACCCGAGGGAGCTGATTCTCACCTCAAAGAGCATACTTTGTGGTGTACTTCCGGCCCACTATCCAGCTTCTGTCATTTCAGCAGGGTACCTTCTCAATTACTGTGCTTTGGATTTCAGAAAAAACTATTTTAGCATCCATCATTATGCTTAGTGTGCCTGTTTTGCAAAGACAAAGTTGCCTCCCCTTCCAGTAAGTTCATGTCAGTGTTTGTTATTTGTGCATCAGTTACAATCCATATAAAAACAACCATGCTGATCATTACATCTTTCAGAAGTGACATCCTTAATCTATTGGAGCTCAGTTCACATGAAAAGACATGGGTCAATAAAAAGATTAATTCCTAAATTCCGAAATCATTTTGGAACTAAACAGATTTTTTTCTTTGCAGGTCAGAGTTGGAGTAATCCAGTACAGTTCATTCCCAAAATTTGAATTTTATCTGAATTCGTACTTAACAAGGGAAGAAGTAAAGGAACAGCTTAAAAGAATTATATTTAGGTTTGTTACCTTTTTTTCCCAAAAGCGCATTACTTGATGCATATTTAAGGACTACTAACAATATCTGCGATAAAAATCTTTAAGGTGCAATGATATTATTTATTTTAAAAAATTGATAATGCTGGTAATATTCCACTTTCAATGTCTCCATACTTGCTTAAAAACGGATCACATGTCTAACTTATGCCAGTTGTGAAGAACGGTTGCAACCAGAACTTTTAATGGCATTTCTGTCTCCGCAGATGCTGTCCAACTGTTGAGTATTTCTATCATGGTCTGTCTCTAATTAAAACTTTCAGAACTCATATTAATTAGCTTTTATATTATTTATCAAGTTGCTTTGTGAGAACATAGAAGCACACATACAAACATACAAGGAGCAGGAATAGGCCACCTGGCCTCACCAGCCTTCTCTACCATCCAATTAGATTAGTCTGATCCCTCCATGTTCCTACCTACCTCCAATAACCTTTTAGCCTTCTGATGCATTTGCATCCTTCTTTAAATAAGGGGCAGTACTCCAGATATGGTCTTACCAATGCCCTGTATAACTGAATCATAACCTCCCTACTTTTGTATTCAATTCATTTTGCAATAAATGATCATTTTTTTAATTAATTCTGGAATTGCATACAAACCTTTCTTGATTCATGCATTAGGCCACTCTGATCCCTCTGCATCTTACAGCTATGCAACTTCTCACCATTTAAATAATTTGCCAGATCTTTGCCTACTCCTTTAACCTATCTACATATCTTTATAGCTTCTTTACATTCTCTTATTTTCCTACATGATTGATTGATTGTTACGTATACCAAAGTATAGTGAAAAGCTTCGTTTACGAGCAGTACAGGCAGATCATAGTAAACAAAGATATGCAGATCAAAAGACTTAGATAGAGGCATACAGGTTATCTTGCATAGGGCTTGTGCTAGGCGAGATCAACGTTAGCAAGATCAGTATTATTTGAAGCGAGAGAGTCCAATCATCAGTCTAATGATAGTCAGGAAGAAGCTGTTCCTGAACCTGCTGGTACATGTGTTCTGTATCTTCTGCCTGATGGAAGAGGTTGTAGGAGATCCTTACCGGGGTGCAATTGGTCTTTGATGATGTTGGCAGCTTTTCTGTGGCAGCTTTTCCGTGTGTAAGTGGAGTCCATGGTTGGAAGGTTGGCTTCCGTGATGGTCTGGGCTTTGCACACCACCCTCTGTAGTTTCTTATGGTCCTGGGCAGAGCAGTTACCATACCAGGCCGTTATACACCCGGACAGTATGCTTTCAGTTGTGCATCTGTAGAGGTTGGTGAGGGTCCTTATGGACATGCCAAATTTCCTGAGCCGCCTGAGGCAGAAGAGACATTGTTGTACCTGCTTGACCATTGCATCTACATGGGAAGTTCAGGACAGGTCGTTGGTTATTGTCACTTCAAGGAACTTGACACTGTCCACCCTGTCAACCTCCGTTCCGTTGATGTAGGTGGGGGCGTGTCCTCCTCCTTTCTTTCTGAAGTCGATGATCAGTTCTTTAGTTTTGCTGAAGTTGAGAGGCAGATTGTTCTCATTGCACCACATCACCAAGCCCTCTATCTCCCTTCTGTATTTTGATTCGTCGTTGTTAGATATCCATCCTAGTACGATAGTGTTGTCAGCAAACTTGTAGATGGCGTTCATTCGGAATTTGGCAACGCAGTCATGGGTGTACAGGGAGTTCAGTAGGGGGCTGAGGATGTATCCTTAGGGGGCTCCAGTGTTGAGTGCTATTGTGGAGGAGGTGCAGTTACCTATCCTCACTGATTGCGGTCTGTGGGTCAGAAAGCTGAGGATCCAGTTGCAGAGGGCGGAGCCGAGACCAAGGTCACGCAGTTTTGAGATCAGTTTGGAGAGGATGATGATGTTGAAGGCAGAGCTGTACTCAATGAGCAGGAGTCTGATGTAGGTGTCTTTGCTTCATCAGCAAATTTAGCAAACATGCTTTTGGTTCCTTCAGCCACGTCATTTATATAATCTGTATCCAGCTGGCATCCCAGCACTGATAACTGTGACCACTCATTTGTTACTTCTTGTAAATTAGGTAAATACTCATTTGTACCTAATGTTTGTTTCTTGTTAGCTAGCTGATCTTCATTCCATGACAATGTGTTATCCCTTACACCGTGACCTTTTATTTTCCACAATAACCTTTGGTGAGGCCTGATATTGAAGAGCTTGTATATTCCTGCTTGTGCACTATATTGTGCAGTAAAGAGTAAAATTAATTTTTTTTTAACTTTCTTAGCGATGAGAGATATTACTAGTTTGACATAGATTTCAACAGTGTTTTGATTTGTTTTGATCCTTTAATGCATCATAATATTCAAGAAATTAAAAACATTTCTGATCTTCTTCTTGCATGAAAATACTTGTTGGAATCCCAATGCATTGCTTCATGGTACTGTATATAAGCCTTAACCTTATGTTAGCAGAAGTCAAGAATTCAAAATCCCTGCAGTCTAGCCTGCTGTTATAGATGAGTAGCACTAACTAACCTCTGTTTCTGGCGACACTGGAGTATCCCAGTCAGGGGAGGGCTCAATTCATTTATATGTTTTTACCAGTTGGTTGGGTTGGCGCAGATGCCTCTTGGTCACCTTCTGGGATAGCAGGATGTAGAGAGCTCAACACATCCTTTGGGATTGCCGCATGTCAGATTTGATATTGACAGGTTGGTCAAAAATTTCTAGGTTTCTTGGGTCTCACTGGCCATTATCCTGGAGCGGAGACCCTGATGGACTCCACTATTGTCCTGATTTACATTACTTTGCAAAGCCATATGCTTCTTACCATCCGAACCTCCGCATCAGTTAGAAGTAAGAGTTGAGGAAATTCTAACATTCAAAATCCCTCTTCTAATATCCTGGATTGTGTTTACAGCAGGTGGAAGTTCACCAGGAGTTTTCCTCTGGGGAGGGGATAGAAAATAGACATTATCTTAAATGCTTCGTAACTGTAGTTAAAATATCAGGAGCTGTGAATTTTGATTCCACACCAGATGTGGAATATAGCAAACCCATTTTTAGTGGATAAATACTGGTGCAAATTTCCAGAAAATGATCAGTTCATTGTTAAATTTGTGTAAATGTTTTGTGCACTCATGAATGAACCACTGGGATCATTTTTCTTTTACAAAGTAAAACCCTTGCCTTCCCTTTAAGGCACAGAAGGTTATCATTAGTTAGCATGGAACCAAAGCATTTGAAGAAGACTTCTTGAAGCCATTCTAGTACCTATAGATTATGTTATCTATTTGACTATTTGATTAAGATTTGTGGTTGATTTAAAATGAATGAGATGAAAAGTTGAGCTATATGTGGCATCTTTAAAAGCCTGTGAGAAATATGATTCAAATACTTTCTGAGGAAGTGAAATATGATTTTTAACATTGGATAAGCATCAGTTTTCTTAGTTATCCCCATCGCATTGACGGATTACACTGTGATTGCAGTTAGAAATGAACAAATTATTTGTTATTACACTAATAGTTTCCCTGTTATCACTGTACTTGATGATAAGTACAGAACTTAGCAGATCAAGAATATTAAAACATTCCTTGTGCTATTAACCACTAGTTTCATTAATCTTGTTGTTTCACTAACACAGAGGTGGAAGTACACAGACGGCACTAGCTTTGAAGTACATTCTCCATAAAGGTTTCAGTGGTTCAAGGAACTCATCCGTTCCTCGAATTCTTGTCATTCTTACTGATGGCAGATCTCAGGGTAACGTTGAACAGGCAGCAACGCAACTGAAAGAAAATGGAATAATTGTCTTTGCTGTTGGAGTCAAATTTCCAAGGTGAGGAATTTCCTTCAGTTTTGCATGGAGAGTTATGAATAATTAAGTGTCAGAATGGATTGCTGATTAATATTTTGATTTTTCTCAACAAATTTCACCTTTTGGGTCCTTAGATTATTGTAATGGTACAACCTATTCCTCATTGGTTTTAGATTTTTTATAGATGGCTTTGGAGTTACATTCCTTTCCTTTCATCTTTTTGAAAGAAAAGCTAATGCTGAAAATAGATTCAGTATGAAAACTCCCTGCTGAATAACTTAGTGAAGATAGCGTGACAAATACCAGGGTGATAACACATGGAAGAATGTTGCACTTCCTCACATTGCTTCTCAGTAGATGGATGGTTGTATTGAAACTTTTAGCAATATGGATATGTGAGATTAAAGTGTAATTGACTAAGAGGTCATTTTAGAACTTGGGATGGGTTTTGCAAATAATCGCCTTTCATTGAGATTCTTCTAGTCTTCCATAGGTAATGAATTTTGCTTGTAGGCTAACATCATCTAGTAGGTTAAACGGTCAGGCTTATTTATAACCATGATTTAATTTTCTTGTATTTTTATTTGAAGAGGAGATATTATTCAGCGGTTTGGTGGTTAAACCTTGAATGAGCTCTTGTAGATGCTTCTTTGTTCCTTGTGGGCCCAATAGTTTTTTCTGCTCATTTTGACACTTTAGATAGTAGAAGGATATGTGGGTTATAATTACAGTCATATTTTGTATATTTATGTAAATATATATGTTTTAATCTGTAGATACAAAAAAAAACACATATTGATCACTGTTTTCAGAAGTTGAGACAAGTAACTTAAATAACCAAGTTAACTACATCGCCGAGGCCAGACGCCAACTCTCCGACACCTCCTCCTACCGCCCCCTTGATCATGACCCCACCCCTGAGCACCAAACCATCATCTCCCAAACCATCCACAACCTCATCACCTCAGGTGACCTCCCACCCACAGCCTCCAACCTCATCGTTCCCCAACCTCGCACTGCCCGCTTCTATCTCCTTCCCAAAATCCACAAACCTGAATGCCCTGGTCGACCCATTGTCTCCGCCTGCTCCTGCCCCACCGAACTGATCTCCAACTACCTCGACTCCATTTTCTCCCCCTTGGTCCAGGAACTCCCTACCTATGTCCTGACACCACCCACGCCCTCCACCTCCTCCAGAACTTGCAATTCCCCGGTCCCTAACACCTCATCTTTACCATGGACGTCCAGTCCCTCTACACCTGCATTCCCCATGCAGATGGCCTTAAGGCCCTCCGCTTCTTCCTGTCCCGCAGGCCCGACCAGTCCCCCTCCACTGATACCCTCATCCGCTTAGCCGAACTCGTCCTCACCCTCAACAACTTCTCTTTCAATTCCTCCCACTTCCTCCAGACAAA